GAAAACTCCTCTTCCCAAGAGTAGGCAGATGCAGATCGTCATAGGAATTTGCAGGGAAAGGAGAGATCCTAATTGAAAACTCCTCTTCCAAAGAGTAGGCAGATGTGGATCGTCATAGAAATTTACAGGAAAAGAATAGATCCTAATTGAAAACTCCTCTTCCAAAGAGTAGCCAGATGCAGATCGTCATAGGAATTTACAGGAAAAGAATAGATCCTAATTGAAAACTCTTCTTCTAAACGGCAGCCAATTGCAGATCGTCATAGAAATTTGGAGGAAAAGAGTAGATCCTAATTGAAAACTCTTCTTATAAAAGAGTAGCCAGATGCAGATCGTCAAAGGAATTTACAGGAAAAGGTGGGATCCTAATTGAAGACTGTTCTTCTAAACGGCAGCCAATTGCAGATCGTCATAGGAATTTGTAGGAAAAGAATGGATCCTAATTGAAAACTCCTCTTGCAAAGAGTAGGCAGATGCAGATCGTCATAGGAATTTGCAGGGAAAAGAGAGATCCTAATTGAAAACTCCTCTTCCAAAGAGTAGGCAGATGTGGATCGTCATAGAAATTTACAGGAAAAGAATAGATCCTAATTGAAAACTCCTCTTCCAAAGAGTAGCCAGATGCAGATCGTCATAGGAATTTGTAGGAAAAGAATAGATCCTAATTGAAAACTCCTCTGCAAAGAGTAGCCAGATGCAGATCGTCATAGGAATTTGTAGGGAAAGGAGAGATCCTAATTGAAAACTCTGCTTCCAAAGAGTAGGCAGATGCAGATCGTCTTAGGAAATTGTAGGAAAGGAGTAGATCCTAATTGAAAACTCCTCTTCCAAAGAATAGGCAGATGCAGATCGTCATAGAAATTTGCAGGAAAAGAATAGATCCTAATTAAAAACTCCTCTTCCAAAGAGTAGCTCGATGCAGATCGTCATAGAAGTTTGTAGGAAGGAGTAGCTCCTAATTGAAAACTCCTCTTCCAAAAAGTAGGCAGATGCAGATCGTCATAGGAATGGGTAGGAAAATAATAGATCCTAATTGAAAACTCCTCTTCCCAAGAGTAGCCAGATGCAGGTCGTCATAGAAATTTACAGGAAAAGAATAGATCCTAATTTAAAACTCCTCTTCCAAAGAGTAGCTCGATGCAGATCGTCATAGAAATTTACAGGAAAAGAATAGATCCTAATTGAAAACTCCTCTTCCAAAGAGTAGCCAGATGCAGATCGTCATAGGAATTTGTAGGGAAAGGAGAGATCCTAATTGAAAACTCCTCTTCCAAAGAGTCGGCAGATGCAGATCGTCATAGGAATTTACAGGAAAAGAATAGATCCTAATTGAAAACTCTTCTTCTAAACGGCAGCCAATTGCAGATCGTCATAGAAATTTGGAGGAAAAGAGTAGATCCTAATTGAAAACTCTTCTTACAAAAGAGTAGCCAGATGCAGATCGTCATAGGAATTTACAGGAAAAGAATAGATCCTAATTGAAAACTCTTCTTCTAAACGGCAGCCAATTGCAGATCGTCATAGAAATTTGTAGGAAAGGAGTAGATCCTAATTGAAAACTCCTCCCGCAAAGAGTAGGCAGATGCAGATCGTCATAGAAATTTGCAGGAAAAGAATAGATCCTAATTAAAAACTCCTCTTCCAGAGAGTAGGCACATGCAGATCGTCATAGGAGTTTATAGGAAAATTATAGACCCACAAATCAAAACTTTTCTCCCGAAGAAGTAGTTAGGCGCAGAACCGATGCAGAGCGTCACAGAAACATACGTAAAACAGTAAGATCCTAGGGCAGACGGAAGTCTTCGTCAAAGTTCACCTGATGTCCTTTTTTTTTGGCTCTTAACTGGTAGTGGTGCTTCGTTGCCCCCCGGGCACTTTCCGACGCGTTGTGTGACACCTGCCGCCGATCCTTTGAGCACCAGGATTCACATCCTTGTTTGGACAACCACATGATGAATGCAGACAAAGAAGGAGTGCCACCAAGGATTGATATTTCCTTTGCGAATCCCTCAATGCCATCGAATTTCAACCTTGCTATTGTAAGTGACGGCGCAGAAGCTAGCCCAAGCAGTCCCGTCCAAGACAGTGAATTGATTGAGATCGCATCATCACAGGACAGCCTGTGTCAGCATGAGTCTGGCTTGCCAAGCGCGTCTGCAGACGTAGATTTTGAGCGCTCGCGCTCGCGTGGACAGTTGCGGGATCTCTGTCGCGCGGGCCTACGTGCCGCAATGGATCAGAGCGAATCAGGCGCCTTAGTTCCCATGGGCGAACCAGATGCAGATGCGGATGGTGCATTGTCGCAAACATTCAATTCGTTGGCTTCAAGTTTGCGTTCCGTCACAGCTGCAATGGAAGGTCACCAAAAAATGGCAGAACTTCAGGCATCGCAGCTGAAAGAAGCGAAGGATAGAGAAACCATGCACATTGCACAGCTGATGGAAAAGGACAAGACAATAGCAAATCAACAACTCGATCTGCTCCGTGCGAACGAGACAGCTAGGGAATTGGAGACAAGGCTCCGTCAAGCCGAGAAGACTTCCGGAACAGCAGTCAATCAGCTGTGGGAGAGACGTATTGAAGCGGCTAAAGAGGAATTGCGCGACGAAATGCGAAACGTTTTGTCTTCCACAGTGTGTGGGACGGATCAGAGGATCTCTATAGCGGCTTCAGCGACCATATCTCAAATGGCGCTGGATGACAAAGGCCAATTTCATGATATATGGAAATGTTTGGTTGTTTTATATCACATTATATTCCAAAAAGAAAACATCTATATGCATTTCAAGGAAGAACTTACTCCCTGGAGAAGAACTGGAAGTCTCAACACAAGAGGCATCCAGTTGAGTGTACAAGGTAAACAGAAAATGGAAAAGTACGACAAGGAAATACAGCATGTCATTGACAATCGGAAAAGAAGTGACCAATATTTAGATGCAGAGTGGCAAAATCTTGTGAGGGTGTATAAAAAGTTCTGGCCTTTCAAAGGCCCCACGCCGGAAGCATTGGATTGGTGGAGTTTATCTACCCAAGAACTATTACAAGCAGTGCCTCGGACTAATCTTTATTTTATTTTCATTTAACAATGTTGTTATCAAAATGCATAAAAAACATGATACCATCATATATAAACATAGTTTAACCCAATGACAGGTACTGAACTGTGATCGTCGCCTGGCACCGTCACATCCAGAGCCATTCATACCACCGATTGCTCGCAGAGCAAATATCTTGAGATCGAGCCTATACAATGCCATCCTTCATTCTGAAGATCACTTCCAACTGCCTTGGGCAATGAACGTCCTAAGATCCAAAATTGACGAAGAACTGAAAACACACAACTTTGGTAAATCTGATGGTGTTTGTGGTGTCGTTCATGTCTTGAACTTGAAATCCAGAACAGCAGCAGTGTTAAAGGTCGGATGCAGCTCGTACCCCAAGCTTTTCGATAAGCATGGTACATTGAAAAGATACAAAAACGTCTTTGAGCCAATGGCTCTGGAACAGGTTGAGGCCATTCATATCTATCAGAGCCCACGGCGAGCACAGCAGGTTGAGGAGGAACTTCATCGGCAACTACGAGCAAAATTTGGAAATGTGAATCCACATAAAGTAAAAAGCAGAGAACTGTATAAAGTCGAGCACTTGGAAGCAATCTTGGGACTTCTACATGAAATTGAACAGAAACCTTCCGAACCTTCCTGCCAGGAAATGACCAGCTGGCAGACAAAAAAGGCACATGGAAATATACTCAAGCAGCGTCATCGCGAGTAACTGTGGTGTCGAGAGTGAAGCGAATAGATTCTCACTGTAGGATCTCAATAGTCAATCTACCGTCGTGCACTCTCTCGGGGAAGAATGTTGCCGGGGAAAAAAAAATGTGCTGTTACCATTCACAGCTTCACTTAAAATTCACATGTTACGAAGTTTCCACCTAGCCTTTCCGAGCCACCATGTATCTATGATGTTTCCAGCGCCTCAGCACCTCTTTGATGGTTGGCTCTTGATGTATCCTGATGTAGTCCTAAGACATCTAGCGGTGTTCCCTCTTTGATCTCTTTGTTTGCTTCATCCACTTCACTTTTACTTACTACGTTTTACGTAGGGAATAGATGGCAATGGGGGTTGCTGGGATGATTGTTGATAGTTAGCCGTGTGGTCCGCAAGGTCGAAGCGGAAATTCTTTGTTGCTGCGGCCGTACCATATGTTCACTTCATGGCACCACTCCGCTGTTCCGCCCTGTTCCGCCTTGCAGTTCTGATGACTTTCAAGGTCTTTCAAATTTCAATATATGTCAATGACTTTCCTAGAACAGGCAGCTTGACCATGGTTCTCGTTTTTCCTCTCTTAGTATGTGGATGCTGGAAGCGGTTCCACACAAATTGAGCAGATAAAACAATCTGCCGCACAAGTAACGTGCTGCGAAACAGAGGTTTGTTGAGCAGATAAAACAACTGCCAAGTCGATATTGAATTGTCAGGGTGCTGTGGATATGTGTGCCGCTTTGGATTGGGTGTAAACCTGGTCAGAGGCCTCAAATCACTGCAGATTTATGAGATGTTTGCTTTGGTCAGGGATGGTCAGGGCATTGTTCACTTGTGCTCCAGAGAAGTGCTCGACATGCGATTGTGGACAGGAAGTGTTTACGTCGTAAACTTTACGACAAGCTGGTGGTGGATGATATCCCTGAAACCAGAGGATTTTTCAGCAGAAAAACTGGAGGGAAAAAACATATAGATTGGAAAGCTGATTAACCATGATATATTATATAGATATTATATCACTATATATAATCAAAGTTCTTGACCCTCCATTTTTTCGAAAGCTGAAGAATTGTGGATCCAGTAACTCAGTAAGCATTCAGTAGTTCTGTGTATGTTCACAATGTTCTACCAGATTCTACCAGCAACATTCATCAAATAGAGAAAACATTGGGTAGCTTCCCCACATTTTCCCAGAAATAGGCAGGTTTAGATCCTGCCCTCCTGACGGGCCAACGGCAGGTGGAAAGCTGATTGCATGCCCTGCCATCCAGGGCGTGCGTCGCTATTATTGGGCTGCTTTGATTAAATCTGTGGGATGTCAATGTGGGCATCATGGAGTATATCCTCTGGAGGTTATTACCATACTCATGTTACCCATAGTTATACCCATAACATAAATACCAAATAGTAGTTCTTATGACCATTGATTTCCATAATCAATAGCCATATGATAGTTAAAATACCATAGTTGTACCCCATCGTATAGAATGTACCCAGATTAATGACCCCAAAAGAATAGTTATTACCATAGTACTAACCATTATTCCCATGGATAACCAAAAATATTACCATAACTCCATTAACCATTAAGCTATATCAATTAATCATTATGGTGAATGGTTAATGGATAATAATCATTATACTATGGTTAATAATGGTTAATAATGATGATAACCATCTATAATAAATTATATTAATAATTATCAACCATTGTCATCTATAACCATTATTATCTATTATGGTATTCTATCCATCAATCAATAGATGCTTAATAATTGTTGACAATTGATATCCATTAACAATGAACCATAGCTATATCCACTAATCATTCTGGTGAATGGTCAATGGATTAATCATTCATAGCTATGGTCTATGGTTAATAATGGTTGATAATTGATACAACTATGAACCATAGACCATAGTTATTGGAACCATATTGGAATATCCAAGTTAATAATTGCTATTTTGGTTATATCATTAACTATGGTTATATACCATTATGGTTAACTATGATTATATATTATTATATTATGATCATACACTATAATATTACTATTATTATTATTATCATCATGATTATTATCATCATCATGATTATTATTATCATGATGATGATTATTATTATTTATATACTTAATAATGGCTATGGTAATCACCGTGATCTCAGGAACGCCTGGTGCTGGTCCGCCCACTGCGCGGCGACGAGCGCCTCACCGAGCTGCCGCAGATCCCGCCGGAGGGCGCCACTGCGCCTGCCTTGGCGTCCGGAGCCCGCAACGCGGGCCCTGTCCGTTGGGAGATCCATGGAGATTCTGCTCAGATCACCAGCCAAAATGATGGTTTTTTGCTGGTTTTTAACAGGGGTTGGTAACTGTCCCATTTTGGGAATATTGGACATCACCTTATAGTAGCCATTATAGACCATATACCTAATGGTTGGGTGATGTTCAATGGGGACATTTAATGACCCATGTAATTTATGGAGATTGAAGCATTAAACGTGGTGATTTCCATGGGGTTTCAGTGGGAATTTCAGCATGGTGATTTGTTGGAGATTTTTGTTCGCATCAAACATGCGGATTTTTTGTGGGATGAATGGGATGTCACCATATTTGACCGGAAATGGTGGAAAACCTACGGAAAACCTATGGAAACACATTGTGGAAAAGTGGGATATACCTGATAAATCCAACCAAGATGCGGATAATATGCCATAAATCATGGGTTTGTGGTCAAAAATGTAGGTTTGAATGCCAGGAAGGTTGAACGGTTGAACCACCACGAATGGCATATGGGGACATATTTATAGGGATATGATGTTACCATTTTTGGTGAGAATGGATATATTTTGAAGGATATATGGACATGTATATATATATATAAACTAACCAATCCAACAATATCAATTACATTTAATTGGGATATACCCAATCAAAATGAGGATAATTTGTTGTAAATCATGGGTTATAAAACGGGTACAGTAATCCTTGAAAATCAACCTGGCCTTCAAGAGCAGTGTGATGATAAAATCTGGTGGATGACAGAATCCAAGTAACAGAGAATGTGCGAGTCCCACGTACCCGTCGGTAATCAAACGTGGCAATGGGAAATACCTGATAAATGGCGGTTTCAATGGTAAACAGGTAAATTTCACAAGTGGTGGAGTTTCTATTGATTTGTTTGATTACCGGAGGGCAATCGAGCAAAATTCAACAGATATGTTAGGCTCTTTCTCGTGTTTCAATCTAAAAAGTTGTGGGCAAGACATGTGCCTCACCTGACGGTACGGATGACTTACAATACTGATTGTAATTTTGTCAAGAAGGTTTGCGTTTCGTGCTTTCTACGCCATTTTTTGTGTCTGCGTAAATTTGCATTTCCAGATTTACAACATTTGTAATTAAGCACCGTGTACATCTATATAGGTAATGAATGAGCAATGTTATGCTGATCCCCTGCAGACTACACAGTAAAAAATGCTGATCCCCTGCAGACTACACAGTAAAAACCCACCTTGCTGAGGCCATTTCCAGATAGCGTGGATCAGTTGTACAGAGGAGTGGTGGAATATGCAGTGAAACTCTGACATTGGGGGGTGCACAGAAAAATGGATGCATGCGTATGCTCATGTAATCCGAGGTACATACAAAAATGAACATATTTATATAATTTCATAATTATATAATCATATTTACATTTGTATCGATATGCCACAGGATGATATAATGAAGAAACATGTGTGTCCAAGCAAAAGGGACCTGACAAAGTCAACTACTTTGTTTTGAGTAGAAGGCACTGCCGGGCATCCCCCATGAAATCCCACAGTCGGCTGGGTTGGTGGTTATCTGTCATGAAATCCCGGGTATGGTCCAAAAATATAATATATAGTCCCAAACATGGATGATGAAGTATGGTTCAGGATTGGGTGGGGCCCTGCTACGCTAAGTGTCCAACGCTTCCCTGGTTGCCCAGGACCACGACAATACTGTTTCGCGTTTCAGGAGGCGAGATGTTGACACCCTGAGTTGGCCCGGTCAAGCTGTGTTTTTTGGGAGTTCCATAATGATCATCCCCGCTTTTGGGAGGATACAATACCTGCAAACATCAACCTTTTTGTTGGTGTTAGTGAAAATGGTTTTTAATTTTTAAAAGATGGTTCTCACACCATTTCAAAGCCTTTTTCCAAGCGTAATGATTGGATCACTGGCACCCGGTGCTTCGAGCAAAGAAAAATCGACAAGCCACGCCTGCAGGGCGCCTGTCGAAAAGGAGAAGCGTGCCGCTTCCTACATAAGATCGCTCCAGGCCGGACATGGCCGGACCACGAAGGATTGACTGGACTTGGCCTAGCCATTCCTCAAGTGGTGTATGGAGGAAATCTTGAAAAGGAACCCCCGAAGCATGAAAAAAGTCATCTACAGTGGATTATTTGGATGATAGGATTTGTTGATGGAAAAACATATCTCCTAGTTTTGAAATGGCTTTCATTTGAAATGGCTTTAACATTTCTATTGTCGCTTTTTAAAGGTTGCTGTATCATGAACCCTGCTAATGCCCTGACTGGTCAAGTTGTCACATGATGATGCCGGGATCAACATGTAACGCTCAATTTGGGTGTAGCTGCATATATCTCTTTAAAACCATATTTCTATATATTAATGTGAAATATGAGATTCCCAGAAACTCCTATAGATCAACTTGTATGGAATAGAAAAGTATGGTGAGACAAAACCCTTTGCTTAGCGGACACTGGACACAGGATTTCAGAGATCAGATCTCTCAAAATCCAAGAACAACCTTAAAGACAATCAGATCTTGTACATATCATTACATATCATTACGTGGTTTGGAACATGAATTTTATGACTTTCCATATATTGGGAACAATAATCCCAACTGACTTTCATATTTTTCAGAGGGGTAGGTCAACCACCAACCAGATTACATGTTTCATACATTTGAAGGCATATTGATACTGCTATCTGTTCGGGCATGGTGTTGTCCAGCGACCCAGCGACCTTCGCTGAACAGATGGTGCCATTCAGCCAAGACCACGAAGGCTAGGACTGAAACCTGGCTTTGGCAAGAGTTGAGGGGAATGGGGCAACATTTTATAAAGCAGTTATTACTATTAAGTACCATTAAGTAGTATTAACCATATCTAACTAGGGGAATAGAAAACTTGTATTAACCATCTAAGTACCCATTAATCTTGACTAATTTTTTAAGTAGTTAATACTATTGGGTAACCAATGGTTAATCCTAATTTTGTAGAACAATAGTATTAACCATCTAATCAATGGCCATTTCAGGAACCGACTTATTGGAGGTACCTACCATATATAAGGCCTATTTTTCTGGTCTATCTAAGTAGTGGGCTACCCAATTTTGATCAATTTTGAATCATACCCATAATGGGTACTTACCATCAAGGACCAGGGATTCAACTAATAGGGAGAAGCAAGTTAGAGCAGAAATCGAAATTGGAGAACCTACGGAAATTATCATTAGTAGTCTTGGGATGTCTTGGGAAATGTTGGCCTTTTTTAGTAACTCACCCGAAGAATGTTGGCTATTTTTTAGGGACTTTTTTTTTGAAAATCTGAAGAGATTCGTGAAGATCCAAAATTTTAAATGGGCAGTGGCTGCACAACGCCTGTTGGCTGATGATTGGTTCGGGGGTTATTCATCTACCCTTTATCCCTCGGGAGTTGCATAATCCATGAATTGGGGATCCGGAAAGTAACCAACCAGTGCATTGAATGACAAATCATGCGGTTTTTGGATCCAAATCAATAACTGGTTGGTGGTTTGGAACATTTTTTATTTTTCCATATAATGGGAATAATAATCCCAACTCACCAATATTTTTCAGAGGGGCAGGTCAACCACCAATCAGATAATGTGCTGAAATTCGATGGACTATGTACATGTTTATGCTTACGGCCCGAAAACCGGCCCAGCGTTTTTGCGTGTGTTTTTTTTTTGCGTTGTGATATGTTGGAGGGGGGTGGGGTCGGGTGGGGTGGGGTGGGGTGGGGGGTGTAATAACGTCCTGTCTCTATGTTATCATCGATGTTCTTCGGTGAGCACACTTCATGTTACGTTGTACACTTCTGTTGTACTTTGGTGAACACACTTCATGTTACGTTGTACACTTCTGTTCTACTTCGGTGGACACACTTCATGTTACGTTGCTGGAAGGCCTGTAAAAACATGCTGCCAGATAGCCTGTCTAGCCAAAGTCCAATGATCATGACATATTTCAAGGCTTGGCAATGGCGATACATACATCGAAATGCTGATGTGTGTGATAACCCTGGAAAGACGGTCCGCAAGTTGAAGTGATGGAAAAGAATCGCTGGCGCTGTGGCGAAACGCGACACCATCCAAAAATCGTAACTTTTTTTGAAGGCGTTCAACATGCATTTTTCATTGCAATAAAACAATGATGTTTTTAAAAGCCAATGGAAATGAAGTGCCACAAGACATCACCATGATATAAACATGTGGCAAATGCCAATGTTTTCAACAAGACGAACATCATAATGAACATGAAAATTGATGAAAACACTGGTCACTGGGCCGATTTCCGGGCCGCTCGGATGTTTATGTTAGAGGTATATCACATGACTATGTTTTATCTAAATGCGTTGTTGAGGATAGAGCCAAAAGGCATGGAACTTGGGGTGAATTCTTTCCTTAGTTTCCATCTATGTATTATTAGTATTTGTGTATATATATGTAATTATATATATAACTATATAGATATATTTAATTATATTTATTTATGTACATATAGTATCATATAGTCATACACATATATATATATATATGTATGCATGCATGCATGCATGCATGCATGTATGTATGTATGTATGTATGTATGTATGTATGTATAGATTAAATCCTACTATTATACCAGATCTCAGTATCTTAAATTCATTGAATCCCGAAAACCTGATCCCAAAGGTGATCCCCAAGCCGCTGGGTAGCTCCCTTGTGGCAGGTACCCAGCCTAACGTGAGGCGCCGGCGAATTTCAGGGATGTGGAAAAGGATCACTGGCAATGGAGAGTCCGGATGGGTCCGGTCATTGCCTGATTTGGACAACATGTTTATTTGGTCCCCTCTGATAATTTTACATAGTTATGGCATAGACAACCCATTTATACAGGTGATTTACTATTACCTATTGAAAATAATGATGCTCCATAGCTATCTCAAATTACCAGCATGTATATACGGTTTACGGCTTAGGTCCACATGACCCTTTGGTTTGACGCTGGTCTTAACAACATTTCCTGGGTCATGTTTCATTTCTTCGCTAGTGATGACTCTCAGAAACCACCACATATATTTCTTGATTCTGTATACTCTTTGATGATTTGTAGCTCCTCTCACCATACAACCATTTTAACCATATAAACCATATAGATAAACCCCCAGCTGGTCCAGGCGGCACCTTGGCGTTTCCGCGACGAGTTTCCTGGACAAATCTGGGCGTTTCCAGGATGTGAACTATAAACTGGTGCAGTCTGTTGCGAAATACAAAAAGGGAATCATCGGGATATCTACGTATACCTATTTAAAGTGGTATTTTTGTTTGCATACATATACCATCCTATACCTTTTCATATACATTCAAGTATACAAGCAATGAAACATATGAAAATATATGAAACTGATGGATTATTTGATAATTCACTCTGAGAAGTCCATTTGGAAATCCTGACAAACTCTTCATCAGGTGGGTCTGATCACTTGGTGTCCAAAACATTGGCAGCTGATTGGCCATCGAAAAATGCTTCAGTATGAGCCATGGGAATGAATGGGGTACTCCGGGTACTCTACCGTCAGACACTACTGGCCAAGCCAAATCGCAAATCATTTGATCTCTACCTGTCATGGACCTCCACCCTCCAGCCAAAGCCCAATGTCAAGCTCCGGCGCAGGACAAAAGGGCCAGCTTTCGTCGAAAAAACGGGAGAGCTCGCAGCAACATTGTTTCAGAAGGGCCAACCCAAATTCTGACATAAAGAGATTGAAACATGTTGGACATTTAAATGCGGGGCTGCCACTGTTAGACTTACTTGGGATTGAACTCAAATTATGATTAGAGTCTAGTCTTATGTTGAAGGTGTGAAGTCTAGGTAATTAGGTACAGCAGGCCTTTGACCGGTTGATGCAGTTGAGGATACAATTGTCCTACTAACAACATCGAAAAAAAACAATCCCAAGCAGGATTTTTTTTGAAATCTATGTACTGTAATCTAAGAGCAAGTTCCATTTGAAACTTGGAAAGTTGGAATCCTTTCGAAATCATGCCTGAAACCTATGGCAGACGCAACGGCGCCATTGTCATCCTTTGCCTGGCGGTGTACTGGTTTTTTACATACAATCATAGACCTATCAATAAAGAGCTCCTCCCAGTTGTGGCTTAAACAAACCCATTATTGCAAGAACAAATGCACTTCATTCCTTTTTTTGCCAAGCCCACCTGACACCTGCCACGCAGCCCGATGCGGAAGCCCCTCCATTGCCCTATGGCACAGCAGTGTGGCATCCAAGGATTGGGCTGATATTATTCCAATCCCCAATTCCAATCGTCTGCAAATAAGGTACAGGAAACTCCAATGGTTGAACAACTCATTGTAGTGTTGGGGGCATATACCGGTATACCCTATTCACAGACACGTCCTTAAAGATCATACATATAATATCATAATATATATATATATATATCCCTTCATGAAATATCCCATAAAATATCCCCATAGCTGTTGGTTAAACTTCCATGTTCAGCTCAGATCAATTTCTTGTTGGCTATACATCCGATTATTTTCATGATATAGCCATGATATCTCCAGTTGCGTAGTGAAATCCACAATTTTGACAGTAAATCCATGATTCATGAGAAGTGATATCAGATTTATATAGTTTTCTCCCGATTAGATCGCCACGTTATCATACGTTATCCCCCCATGTTTTCTGATTCATTTCCTGAACGCTGCACCTAAGAAAATCCCATCCCCAGGTGCCACAGCCAGGTGCCACTGTCAGGTCGAGGGCATGGTAGCTCTGCGGGTGCCTTGCAGGCGGGGAGAAATGGCGAGAAGGGGATATCATCAACTAATATCAACTATAAATACAACCTGGGGATATCTATGGGATATCATTGACTATACAATATATATATTATTATATTATATTATATTATATTATTATATTATATTATATTATATACATATTATATATATATTATATGATATATTATATATTACATTATATATATATAATATATATATATTGTATAGTCAACATATATATATATAAATATGACAATAACAATGAATGGGCATATTATATTAAGTTAAAGAACAACTATATAAATGGGAATATCATTGAATAACACCATATGGGACAAAATATAACGCGGAGAATCTATGATATATATATATATATAATTACTATCAAAATAGCTCAAAACTATGATTAGCCAGCAACCCGTGGTACAATCAAACATGGGATATGATAAACCAACCCAATAAAATGATGTATCAAAACTCTGAAGTGAGTTTTTTCAAGTGATTTGGGGGGCCTGGCCTTGTTGGAAAGACACTCCGCCCACGTGCACCACAAAAGGGGACAAGACCTGCAGATTCGGTCGAAAACAATGACAGCGCGGGGGGCATTAAACTTTAAAAACTCCTAAAGTCCAAAGCCACAAAGTGCTGGATATTTTTGGTGCTTCAAAAGCTCGGCACTTTTTTTTTGGTCCCATTTTTGGATTGTGCGCATATCCCTCTGATGGATTTTAAGTCAATTTTACATATAATTTACAGTATCCCGAGTTTAACCGGTTCAAAATTGAATTTTCTCAGATTTCATTCTCCCCTTTTGTTAAACTGTCGCAGTCGCTTCATCTTTTCTGAATCGATTCTTTCGGGCCTTTCCAAAAACCATTTGGCAAATTTGGTGCCAGGAAATGTTCCTCCGTGGCAGTTCGTTGAGGGTCTTGCCCATGGCAAATGAGTCAGTGCCCCAGTGGCCTCGGCTGGATGACCATCCTGCAGTGGGGATGTACTCTCTGGTAATTTGTTACATAGCTATTGAAAATGACAATTTATAGTGGATTTTCCCATTAATCATGGTGATTTTCCATAGCTATGTTAAATTACCAGAGGGCAATGGAATATTTTATGGGATATGATATAAATGTAGCCAAGAACAGTGACATCCCCTTCTGAACTTCAGTTCGCATCAACATTTAGCTGGTAGTTATGGATTAGTCATTCCAAAAGAAAGCGTCCCCGTTTGTTTTTGCCCCATGCCCAAGCCTGAATATCAATGGATTAGTTGAATGGAAAGAGTGCAGGAAACCATGCTCTTTCATTACCAAATGCAGACAGTTTCCTGACAGTTTTCCCTACGAAAAGACTTAACAACTGGCCAAACACTGCAGTGACTGGTAGTTCCACGATGTTTTTTTGTGCTATGAGAATCAAGATGGGAATAGTCCGACCCTTTTTTTGAGAATCCTGTTGAAAGGCATGGTGGCTGGGTCCTGACCATAAAAATCGTTTAACATTGGCCTGGTGGCTGATGTTCACAATAATGGGGTCAGGTTTATGAAAGGCATGGTGGCTGATTAGATCATCTTAAGAGTTACCCTCTGGTAATTTAACATAGCTATTGAAAATCACCATTTTTAATGGGAAAATCCACTATTAATGGTCATTTTCAATAGCTATGTAACAAATTACCAGAGGGTAACAATCATGGGGTCAGGTTTAGACGCTGGCTATTGGATGTCAAAATGGATCAAAATGGCATGGATACCCGTCATAGCTGGCCGGTGATTCCCCCACGGCAGGTTCATAACCTTGACCCATCCCCAGTTCCCCATGGAATTTTCCATTCTAAATATTCCGATCTCCCCATTGTTGATGGTTTGATTATCCTATTAGATTATCCGAAAAATGATTTCCATATTAATTTCCATAGTATAATCATATATTGATTAACATATGATTTCCATTGCTTTCCATATATTTAACCACCATTTTTTTTAAATTAACGACGCGTTACGACTCGACTCGACCAAGGTTTGCGGCGTCCTCTGCCAGTCTCTTTGCGGCGCTGCAGGAGGTCACTTCGTGGGAAACCAATGGGGGTACCCCAAAATGGAACAGCTGGATGGAAATTGGGATATCATGGGGATATAATAGGGATATAATAGGTTGAATAATAGGGATATCAGATAGGGATTGATATATATATATATATGATATTAATAGGGATATAATAAGGATATATTATACTAAATTAATGATAGAATAGGGATATATCAATAATCATTGATGTAAATGGATATACTCAATCCCAACGGATGATGGATGTAATAATCGAAAACAAACAATGACTGAGAACTGGGGATACTGTAACCCACCCATTGACTTCGGAAACCTCTAAATGTCAGATGTTCACAGATTGTTAGTAAAGCACTGATTTTAAATCAGCCATATGTTGATGGTTTACATGCATTTCTCGTAAATTTTAAGGTAAATTTTAAGGTGGTTTTACCACAGTTAATTCAGAAATCCAGATATCCATGGCATTGTGGTGAGCTATGTGGCGAAAAAAATATATATTCCCATCTAATATTCCCCGGGAGTTGTTGCTTTGGCATTCTGTCACCGACAAGTCAAACGTCAAACGTCTCAGACTCAAAATCCGAGGCTTTTGACTTCCAGGTGCCATCAGTGGTGTGGAGGATGCTGTTGATGCTGTTGTTTTCCTCAACTGAGAGGGCACTAAGAAGAAAAGCGCAACTCAAGAATTTCAGAGGAGGACTTGAACTTTTTTTGATGAGACAAATTCTGAATTCTTGGATTGTGTTTTCCTCCTTGGAACAGCTGGCATTTGAAGTTGCAACATCCTTAGATGCACATAGCCTGAAGCTGGTGCCTGGTTCCAGTGGTTCCAGTGGGAGTGCAGGCAGACAGCGTCAAGAATCAATACGAACATTTCCTGTCGCTTCTTCAAGCGCATTGCTCCATGGTTGCGGCCCCAGTGCACGTCATGGCGTTGCTGCGCCGAGCCGCTCGCCTCGTCTGTGAGGTCGCTGATCGCTACGTCCAAGATGAAGAGGAGGTGCTGCGTTGGAACTGCAAGGTGTCAGGATGTGGGTTTGGTTTTAAACAATTTTCTGGTTGGTGGTTTGGAACATTTTTTAATTTTCCATAATATATGGGATGTCATCCTTCCAATTGACGAACTCATATTTTTCAGAGGGGTAGGTCAACCACCAACCAGATTTTGTTTGAAAATGAGCTAGGTTAGAACCCAGTTTTTGGTGAGATGGTGCTGTATCAAAACTTAAATTCACTAGGGCTGCAATCCTTCACGTATGACACCTGGGGGACTTCGCAAACCAGTATTTTCCCTATCGGATCATGGACCCTTTTGAGGGGATTTCAGTTGGCAAGAATTTTGGAACTTCAAGAAATCAG